AGCCTCCCAAATAGCTGGAACCACAGGCACCCGCCACAACGCCCGGCTATTTTTTGGTTGCAGCCATCATTGTTGTTTTGGCAGGCCTGGGTTGGATTTGAACCCGCCACCCTAGGTGTATGTGGCTGGCACCTTAGCCACTTGAGCCACAGGTGCCAACCTCAATGTTGGCTTTTGTAGGCAACTGATGCAAAGGTGTACAGAGTGGTGTCACAATAGTTAGGGAGTAGTTTTTTCATTGACAACTTTCTCATTAGAAACTTCCCCAAATCCCCATCCCAAATCACATAATTTCTCTTACTCAATTCAGTTTTGGACCTTGCCCCATGACCAATTGGTTTTACATAGAACATATTTAACAATGTTGCCTGCTTTTTCCATTTAACAATATTTAATACATCTTTACTTTAAATTTCGAAAAAGATTTCTCAGGGTGGCGCCTGTGGCTCAAGGAGTACGGCACCACCCCACATACCAGGGGTGGTGGATTCAAGCCCAGCACTGGCCAAAACTGCAAAAAAAAAAAAAAAAAGATTTCTCAAAACAAATTGGCATTGGCAGTGCCCTTAGTGGGTAAGGCACCAGCCACATACACTGAGGCTGGTGGGTTTGAACCCGGCCCAGGCCAGCTAAAACAACCATGACAACTGCAACAACAACAACAAAAATAGTCAGGTGTTGTGGCAGACACAGGTAGTTCCAGCTACTTGGGAGGCTGAAGCAAGAAAATCTCTTAAGCCCAAGAGTTTGAGGTTGCTGTAAGCTATGCCACCATGGCACTCTACCCAGGGTGACAGCTTGAGACTCTGTCTCCAAAAAAAAAAAAAAATTGGCATTAGTTTTCACAGTCCGATAAGTTACTTTTTAGGAAAGTCCCAGAGGCCATCAAGTACTGGTAGACTGGATTTGGAATTTCCACAGCAAACCTATATCCCTTCAATGATTCAAATTAGTAGAGTTAGTGTTAGAATGGTCTCTCATTTAAAACCACAGCCACTGGTTCGGCGCCCATAGCTCAGTGGTTAGGGTGCCCGCCACACGCACCAAGGATGGTGGGTTCGAACCCAGCCCAGTTGTTGCAAAACAACAACTCCAACAAAAAATAGCCGGGCGTTGCGGCAGGCACTGGTAGTCCCAGCTACTTGGTAGGCAGAGGCAAGAGAATCGCTTAAGCCCAAGAGTTGGAGGTTACTGTGAGCTGTGATGCCACAGAACTCTACCCAGGGCAACATAGTAAGACTGTCTCAAAAAAATAAAATAAAAAATAGGGCAGTGCCTGTGGCTCAAAGGAGTAGGGCGCCAGGCCCCATATATGGGAGGTGGTGGGTTCAAACCCAGCCCCGGCCAAAAACTGCAAAAATAAATAAATAAATAAATTATAAGGCTCAGTGCCTGTAGTTCAGCGGCTAAGGCACCAGCCACATACATCAGGAGGGGCTGGTGGATTTGAACCTGGCCCAGGCCTGCCAAACAACAATGACAACTGCAACCAAAAAAATAGCCATAGCCAGACATTGTGGCGGGCACCTGTAGTCCCAGCTACTTGGGAGGCTGAGGCAAGAGAATCCCTTAAGTCCAAGAGTTTGAGGTTGCTGTGAGCTGTGATGCCACAGCACTCTACCGATAGTGACATAGTGAAACTCTGTCTCAATAATAATAATAATAAATAAAATTGAAAAAAAAAATAAAACCAGAGACAACCATGGTAGCTCGGGCGTACAATCCTACCACTTTAGGAGACCCAGGCAGGAGTTATCACCTTAGCCCAGGAATTTGAGGTTGCACTGAGCTCTCAGGAGGCCACTGCACTGTGGCCCAGGCAACAGAGGAAGACCCTGTCTCAAAATAAATAAATTCATAAAATATAGTACAAAATGAATAGAAATACTGATCATTAACTATATATTGTTGGACTACTGTAAGATGGGACTAGTTTAATGGGTTAAACAAAAAGAAGATCACAAATTCATTTTTCCGGAGCATACTGGTGCGGATGGGTGGCTGGGGGATAAGTATGCACTTTTTCTCTGGTTTGTGAACATAATTATAGTTTACCCTGTGTGGGAGCCCAGGAGTAACAAGGACTTTGGTGTCTGGCTAGTGCAGCCCAGAGGGGAAGACCTTAGGCTCCAGCGGACATTGTCACAGTTCCTCAAGGAGCCCTAAGCCCAGCAAATCTGCTCAAACTATTAACATAAGAATTTGTGCCCTTGGCTAGTGCCTGTAACCTTAGTACTCTGGGAGGCCAAGGTGGGAGGATGCTTGCCCTCAGGAGTAAGAGACCAGCCTGAGCAAAAGTGAGACCCCCCCATCTCTACTAAAAATAGAAAAAAATAGCGGGTGTTGTAATGGGTGCCTATAGTCCCAGCTGATCAAGAGACGGAAGCAGGCTCGGCACCTGTGGCTTAAGTGGCTAAGGCGCCAGCCACATACACCTAAGGTGGCAGGTTCGAATCCAGCCCGGACCCGCCAATCAACAATGATGGC